AAATTGATTAATCTTCAATATAGTAAATAACATATTATTGCTCTTCGAACTCATCTTAAATGCGAGAAGTGTCATAAAATTATTATCTAATAAATAAGTTAATCTTTATATTTCAAGGTTGATTATCCTGTAGATTAATTGGAATTTCAACCATTAAAAAAAACAAAATTTCTTAGAATGGTTTTATTTTTGCTCAAAATACCTAACTTTAAGATATATTATAAATATCACAAATTTAACTGTCATGTGTGATTTCTTTATAATTTGAATCCCTCTTGTAACATTTCATAACATTAGAGTACCCCCCCCCCAGGCTGTTACGTAATTTATGTATGTTCCCGTACGTGATTTGTCGATAAGACATATGGCTGACCAAGGCTTAGGAAAAAGAAATATTGTGATTCATCTGCTCTTGGCATGTGAGGGTGCTAAAAGTATTTTTATTGAAATGATAATTATAAAAGTTGCATATTGAAATGAAAGATGTTAAGTATAGAAAAAATTTTATGTGAAAAATGAAAATAAATTTTTCTAAAATACCATAAATATGTATATTGGAACATACATAAAATATGTAATACCTTGGGGAAGGGCGGAAAGGTTTCTACTATTCAATTCGACTCTCTGCATTGGATGCCCAGGGCCTCAGCATCTTTTGCCCCCCCCTCCCCTCTGCACGCTACTGGATTACTTTCGTATTAGTGAAACACACATTAGTTATATTGTATACCTATTATTTCACATTAGTCCTTTTACTGTATCTATTACTTAGCTTATTGACTTGTGCATGATGCATAATTACACCTTTATTTAGTTTAACTTTGTACAAATGTATTTTTTGCGTGTATGTAGTGTTAACATTGAATTCAAAAAACACTTCAACTAGATTATGAGTAAGAGACCACCAAAATTTTCTGCTTGAGAATTGTCTAATCGAACAAGAAAGTAAGAAGTCTAAAGACCTAAATGTATGAAATAAAGTTTCAATGAGCGTCTTCCAGGCTGGAAAACGGGGCTTTTGTTTTGCTCATTTAGCTTATACTTATTTTGTGAAAGCAGCTTTATTAGTAAAATTTCTATAACTATTGAACTAAACAATATTTAACTGATTACTTTCTGTTATTATGCAATATGTCAGTGATATGAACTTCAGTCTGCTACTGAAGATTAACTCTTTAGGAGAGGGATTGTCAAATGCAAGTCATGATATTTTACAATGTTACATTCAAAATTAAATACCTTTAGAATAACTTGGCATGGAAACGTAGTTTGTAATTCAACTTTAATACTATATGAGTTTAAACTCTTAATTTCAAAAACAAACATTAAAAAATTCTTAATTTTTATTGTTTTTTTCATGTGATGCATCTGATTTCTCCAATTTAGAAACTTCTAACTTAAAAAATAAGCTGTTACAGTTTCAACCAATTAGAAACACAAACTAAACATAATTACAAGC